TAAAGGACTCAGAATACATACTCAAGGAAAATACAAACGATGTGATGTTTGTACTTGCCCCCCAACAGTGGGAGCCAAGGATGTGCACAAGGCAATATTTTAGATCGTTTGCCTCCGAAGTGTAGCCCACAAAAAAATTAAATTAAATAAAAATAAAAAAGTGATGCGAAGCGATGCCCCTGTCATGAAACACTGTGGCACTTACACATGTGGACAAAATTATTGGTACCCCTCAGTTAATGAAAGAAAAACCCACAATGGTCACAGAAATAACTTGAATCTGACAAAAGTAATAATAAATAAAAATTCAATGAAAATGAACTGATGAAAATCAGACATTGCTTTTGAACCGTAGTTTGACAGAATTATTTTAAAAAATAAACTCATGAAACAGGCCTGGACAAACAACCTTCTGAGGCAATCACTGCAATCAAACGATTTCTGTAACTGTCAGTGAGACTTGTGCGCCTCCCAGCAGGTATTTTGGCCCACTCCTCATCAGCAGACTGCTCCAGTTGTCTCAGGTTTTTAGGGTGCCTTTTCCAGACGGCATGTTTCAACTCCTTCCACAGATGTTCAATAGGATTTAGATCAGGGCTCATAGAAGGCCACTTCAGAATAGTCCAGTGTTTTCCTATTAGCCATTCTTGGGTGTTTTTAGCTGTGTGTTTTTGAATCATTATCCTTTTGCAAGACCCATGACCTGCGACTGAGACCAAGCTTTCTGACACTGGACAGCACATTTCTCTCTAGAATACCTTGATAGTCTTGAGAATTCATTGTACCCTGCACAGATTCAGGACACCTTGTGCCAGATGCAGCAAAGCAGCCCCAGAACAGAACAGAGCCTCCTCCATGTTTCACAGTGGGGACAGTGTTCTTTTCTTGATATACTTCATTTTTGCATCTGTGAACATAGAGCTGATGTGCCTTGCCAAAAAGTTCAAGTTTTATCTCGTCTGTCCAGAGGACATTCTCCCAGAAGCTTTGTGGCTTGTCAACATGCAATTTGGCAAATTCCAGTCTTGTTACGGTCAGTTCACAGACCCACGTGCAGAGCAACAAGACACAGGAGACAGATGTCAAAAATAAAATAATTTATTTTACAATAGGGCAAGAAAACAAACACTAACCAAGCTGGTGGTATGACCACAGACGGAAAGCCAACCTAAAACTAACGATAACGAAAAACGCACTCGGAAACTGAAAACTAAAACTACACGAGTGGTAATGCGGGGAAGAAGCTAATACAAACAAAAGGCTAAGGAAACGAAAGCTAAGCTAGAACGAGGAACGAAAGGAGACTAAGCAAATAAGGCTCAGTAAGACACACGGATAAAGAAGCTACACTAAAACACACGAAGCTATAACTAGGAATAATAAACTACTCTATAGAAACCAAGGATCACGAAGCTATACTAAGCACACGAGGCTATAACAAGAATAATAACTAGACTAAAGAAACTAAGGATCACGAAGCTAAACTAAAACACACGAAGCTAGCG